TGATAAACTTTTAACATCCATCGTGCGCGAATCTGGTGGGTTATGTGAATGGGCGCGTCTAGCGTGTGCATATATCAAAGCAGATAACGAAGTTGGGTTAACTCCTCTCGAACGTTTCGAAGCCATCATCAGCCGCAAAGACGACGATCACGTTCCACTTCTCGACCAGATATACAAATTCACGTTGAAATCGATGTTTCCCCCAAACCAGCCGCAGCGCAAGAAGCGTCTCACCCGGTTTTGTTCGGTGATGACACAGATACTGGGGACACTAGAACCACTACCCCTTGCTTCATTGTGCTCGATGAGGCAATATTTTCCCGAGGACAACTCGGATGTTATTACTGCAATTGTAAAGCCCATGGGTGCTCTTCTGAGCGGCACCACCGATGTTTCTTCCGTCGTCCGTCCACTTCATGTATCCTTCCCTGATTTTCTCACAAATAAAAAGCGGAGTGGGGAGTTCTTCGTCGACACGTCTCGCGTTCAGAAGGATCTTGCATTTGCGTCCCTTGCAGTCATGGAACATGGCTTACGATTCAACATATGCAAACTGAACAGTTCACACTCCCTAATTCCAAAATCTCCGACTTGCATGAACGAGTCCAACAGAATATCACCCCGGAGTTGTCCTATTCCTGTCGGTTCTGGACAGACCATCTGCAAAAAGCAGTTTTCGACTTGCACCTCGCTAATGCGGTTCGAGCATTTTTCAACCACGAACGGTTGCTCTTCTGGTTGGAAGTGCTGAGTCTGCTCAAGACCATCAACACGACGGCTGGCTTGCTGTCATCTTTGATCGAGTGGGTCAAGGTTCGTGTCAGAAACCTTATTTTCTACACAGTTATTCTTACGGGAACCAGCCCCACCCCGCAGAATGCAAAGATATCTTGGACGATGCTGCAGATGCACAGAAATTCATTTGCATATTCGCCTTCCCATTTCCTTCAGCACCCCCCACTTGTATCTATCTGCACTACCGTTTTCACCAAAGGAGTCGCGTATCTTCACAAAATTTGTCAATACATTTCCTTCAGTATTGCGAATCGTTTCTGGCCATCATTTGTCATGGCCGATGATTCAGCAGGTGATGCATGCAGATTCTCCTGTTCTATGCGCCGCATTCTCTCCGGATGGTAAACGCATCGTTGCCGGGTTGCGCAGGTGTGTCATACAGGTGTGGGATGCTGAGACTGGCGAGCTTCTTCGGCTTCCTCTCATAGGGCATCAGAATGATGTCACGTCTGTTGCATTCTCGCCGGATAGCAGGTACATCGTGTCGGGGTCGGAGGATAAGACCATTCGCTTGTGGGATGCGGAGACGGGCGAATCGCTGCAACCACCTCTCGAGGGACATGAGGGTGGTGTCACCTCCGTTGCGTTCTCACCGAATGGCAAGCTCATTGCGTCGGGGTCACACGACAAGACCATTCGGTTATGGAACGTTGAGACTGGCGAGCCTCTGCAGCTGCCTCTCATAGGTTATACGGATTCGATTCGTTCTGTTGCAATCTCGCCGGACAGCACACACATTGTGTCAGGGTCTTTGGACGAGACCATCCAGTTGTGGAGTGCGGAGATGGGAAAGCTACTGTTTCCACCTATCAAGGGACCTGGTCAGGCCAATTCTGTTGCATTCTCGCCGGATGGCAAGCACATCGTGTTGGGGTCAAGCAACAAGACCATTCACTTGTGGGATGCCGAAACTGGCGATCCACTGAGCCCACTTCTCATGAGACAAGATGAAGTCGTCACATCTATTGCATTCTCTCCCAATGGCAGGTACATTGTGTCAGGGTCAGAGAACTTTACCGTTCAGCTATGGGATGCCGAAACTGGCAAGCCACTGCGGCCACCTCTCCAGGGACACCAGCCTCCTGTCACCACTGCTGCATTCTCACCGGATAGCCAGCGTATCCTTTCAGGGTCACGGGACAACACCGTCGTCCTTTGGGAGACCACAAATGGCGAGCCAGTGCAGCCACCACCTCTCGTGCAACACGGTCTCGTCCGCTATGCTGTATTCTCGCCGGATGGCAAGCGCATCATGTCACTGTCAAGTTTTGACACCTTTTGCTTGTGGGATGCCGGAACTGGCAAGTGTCTTCGGCTACCTCTCAAGGGACCTGACTACTTTTTAACCTCTGTTGCACTCTCGCCGGATGGCAAGCGCGCCGTGTTGGGGTCACTCCTTGGCACTATTCTGTTGTGGGATACTGAGACTGGCGAGTTGATCCAGCCACCACTCGAGACACATGAGGACACTGTCTACTCTGTCACATTCTCGCCCAATGGCAGGTACATTGCATCGGGGTCGGATGATGGGTCCATTCGGTTGTGGGATATCGAGACTGGCAAGCTGCTCCGGCCACCTGTCAAGGAACATAGAAACGCTGTCTTCTCTGTTGTATTCTCGCCGGATAGCAGGCGTTTCGTATCGCTGTCGTATGACAAAACCATGCGGCTGTGGGATGTCGGGAGTGGCGAGCCGCTGTGGCCACCCCTTGAGGGACACGAGGGGCTGGTCCTGTCTGTTGCATTCTCTCCAAATGGCAAGCACATCGTATCAGGGTCACTCGACAAGACCATTCGCTTGTGGGATGCAGGGACTGATGAGCTGCTCCGGCCACCTCTCATGGGACATACAAACGCTGTTATCTCTTTGGCATTCTCACCCAATGGCAGGCACATCGTATCGGGGTCACGCGACATGACCATTCGCTTGTGGCATGCCGAGACTGACGAGCCGCTCCGGTCGCCTCTCAAAGGACATACAAACGCTGTCATTTCTGTTGCATTCTCGCCAGATGGCCAGCGCGTCATGTCGCTGTCATATGACAGCACCATGCGGCTGTGGGATGTCGAGACTGGCAAGACGCCCAAGCCACTCCAAGATGTCCGCAGCGTCAGTTCCGTTGCAGTTTCGCCAGATAAAATCGACATCATATCTGAATCTCAGAACCATACACGCGATGCACAAGCTATTCAAGACAATGACCTCGAACACCTCATATGTTTCTCCCTGCACCCGGGACATGCTCTTGTCGATACCGCCGCGCTTATCGATGAAATCATCACTCCGACATAAGACATATCGGCACTCCCAGTGAGGATTGAGGAACATGACAGATGGGCTGTGATTGGACCGGGGGACAGGCTTCTGTTTTGGGTCCCGCCAAACTATGATCCCCTGTGGTGCCCTCCGGGGACGCAATGGATTGTCCCAGCGCTCAACCCTTTGCTTGATCTCAGCCGAATGGCCCACGGATTATCATGGGAGTCTTGTTATAGAGGACACACTCATGTTTGACATACTTACGGAATCGGGATAAGTACAAGTTTCGCTGTAACCACCTTAGTTATGACCGCACTTACGAGCACCTCTGGAGTGTAACTTTTCTTATTGATTGAACATGCGAGTCTTCGATGTCTCATCGTTGGTCGCAGACTCTAATAAGATGAATTTGTTGTGTGCCAAGGGGAAGTACGGGTGATTAGTATCGTGGCGTAGGTATTAGTGCATTACTACATTCAGGAAGGTCATTCATGGGATACGAATGGAGGATATGGAGCAGAGCACACTTACGACTCATACAAGAATAGCACTAGTTGCCTCGTTTATATCCATCTCGCATTTGACGTTGTGCGCTTTGATGTTGTTATCAAGTTTGTGGACATCCAGGCAGGGATAAATCCCATTCTGCTGAAGGCCGACGGCAAGAAGGTTGGCATGTGTGATCAACGGTGGATCTGCCGCTGAATGGGATGCTAGACCATTGAATGGACGGTATTAAAGCAGCACGATGAATTGGAAAGTGTTGAAAAGGACGCTGAGTCGTGGTGAATGAGTTGTTCTGTGCCAGTCTAGACTCTAGAGGCAAACGGTACACATCATGGGGTACGCCACCGGTACCCTCTGATATCCAAAATACAAATTCAAGAGGCGAACGGTACACATGGGTAATACGCCACCGTTGCCTTCTGATAAACAAAGTCTAACCATCACTGAAATTCAATTTTTGCTATCAAGTCTTGTATTCCCTTTATATAAGGGCTAACACCTACCATTAGTGAAATTATGACATATCATAATGTAGAGTCAGACAGAGCATTATAAGGGTAACCTCCGTAGCCAACAACTAGTGGTACGAGTGTTATTTGACTACCCTCTCATTAAGATTGAAATTGGCAACATATTACTTTTGCATGATATCATTGCAGCTGCTACTAATAGTTAAGGCCGTGGTGCACCGGAGACAATCAGACACAATGATTCATCATGTGGTCATCGTGGATCACAAGTCGGACTAGCACCGGCTCGACCTAGTCTGAACCTGCGTTACATCAGTCTACTTTCTCACATTTCCCCCCATTTCGATACGTTTTCCCAACTTGTCCCATTTTAATACAGGTGATCTATAACCAGAGACGAAATTAGAGTACATGGCCATTGTTGATTGCACATTAGAAAATTTCCGGGCTCTTCAAGGCAATAATAACTAGTGGTTCATTACAAACTTACTGACTCGTTATCGCTATGTGCAATTACATCTTTGTTGCAAATATCAAACGTTGTGCTAGTGCTGCATCATTGATAACGGCTTATTACTGTTTGCTAAACTAATCTCTTAATTCTATTGATTTGCATTTCCACTTGGCTGGAGTACTTCTGACCACTACTCACTCCTCGTTGGGTGTTGACTTGAAGTTTCCAGATGGTACTGATGATCCAGAGGAGCGATATGTGCCCCAGCCTGGACAAGGGTGTATTGATGGAGAGACGGGACGGTCAATTATCTTACAAAACATTTCATGAGTATCGGTCGATTTGTATCTTCCGTAGGTCATTTTATGATATTATACAACATTGACGAATGTTCGGACGCGATCTGAGAGAATGACAGGCTGTTATGACAATTGACCACACATTTGGCACGAACTATCATTTAATAACATTATTGTAACAGTACATACAAAAACAGGTATACCGCTATGCAATATCAGTAACGTTTGGCAGAGGTATTAGCAACTGAATAGTGGGCCGCAACTTGAGGGGAATAAGTGGACACGCTGCGGGGGCCAAAGACCTTTCTGTAAACCCATGAGAACAATGAAAAGCTGGCTTGTAGTGTGCCCACCGGTTCCACCACACGAGAAGAGCATCAACAGAAGCTTTGGCTGTGGGCGTTGGCGGATTCTCAAAGTAGTCGACGATGTATACATAAAACTGGTCATGTTCGAAGTCATCATCGATGTTTCGCCAGGAGCCACAGCTCGAGAGAGCAAACCGTAGCTAGTGAATAAGTAGCTTCAGCCATAAGCATTTCGAGAGAAAAGTGGAATGGACCTGTACCGCTGAATACGCAATGGCTCTTGGTTGCACTGAGCACATTCCTAACAAAGTAGCAACATCAGACCGAGTACGACGTTCGCCCTGGGTCCTGGATCGTTTAGGTAGCGGTTCAAGGGGAAGCTCTTCGTCAGGTCGCGCATCTGCTGCAGAACTGGGGGACGTGAAAATGTGCTTGAAAGTCTTATATCAAAATGTGAGCAGAGAAGTCAGGAAGTCAAGAAGCGGACTCACCCTGACGAGAAAAGAGCCTTTAAAGAGCCCTTTGGTTGGGTCATCCGGGTCATACTCACCATCTCTGTACAAAAATGAGGGCCATGAGTGAGCTGTGACTTGAAAATTCGGTTCATAGTTCCGTATCCCTTCTTTGGCACTATCATCAGTGTTAGTTTCGCAGTATAGACCTGTGAGACATGAAGGTCTGACACAGTATCAGCCCACTTGAAGTCCACAGGGCACAGAAGCTTGGCAGTCGCATCGTTATAAAAACCACGTCCTGTCTTGTCACGCGAGTGGATTGGCGGGTTGGGAGGTGGGGAACTCTCGTTCAGCCATGAGGCCACCGCTAGCTTCATAGAAGCCGCGTCATCGCCCCTTGCTGAATCGGCTCCTCGATTGAGCTGAATGAATCTCAGAAAAAGAGTTAGTTGATACATTGCGCGGCTTACTTTCTGATAAGCAATATTTAGTTGATGTCCATCGGTTTGAGAGGAGATGAGGCCACGGACGGTTGGGACCCAGCGCAGCAATTGCTGAAATGATTGATAGGTACGTTCCTCCCTAGAATAGAACGATACGATCAGGTTTTAAACTCAATGGAAAGTGAGGGCGTGTACTCTTCAGTGTGTTGTGGGTCGTCGTCGTCATCGTACATGGAGGTCCTTCGATCGTATTCTCCAACAAGGTCTTCGATTCGGTCAGTTAAGCTGACGAGGCGCCGAATAGCTCGCCCAGTCATGAGGTATGGATCACCACGGCTGTTGGATGCAGGCTATCAGATAAGGGTCGCCATCGAATATTGCACCTCACCTTTTAGGGCCGCTTTCTCCTCTGAGCTCAGCATTTTGGTCCTCCAAAGCTGCTATGCGCCGTTTTAGCGCAGCGTTGTGGTCGTCAGGCGTGTTAAGATTGTGAGGAGACTGAGACATGGGTGTGGGATGAAATGGGGAATAACGGTACGGTCGAGCTTTTGAAGATTGAATTTTGATGTCAATGCGGAAGGGTTGCGTCATACTCGCCACTGATCGATCGCCGAATAAGATGCGGCTCCAGCGTTTGGAGCGTTGGAATGGAACCCATCCTACCCGAACCTTGGCATAGTGCTGATGCGGAAGCGAAGAAATGCGGTAATGTCACCGAAAGTTTGAACTCCTGTTACCAAAGTGTGGCGTCCAAGAGGTGAGTCAAGTGTAAGTCTCGTCACCGTGGAGGAAACTCACTAGTTACACCACCAGTGAATTAGCAAAACCACAGTCACAATCACTCTACCGTTGCCCCTGCGACTGCTCCTCCGACCTATGTCAGGAACTGTGATACAAGAACACAGGTGAGAATGAGTATTCACAGGTACATGCTACGAGCTCAAGCAACAACGGTCACCTTCGCTTCAAAGTTCAAGCATACTTACAGATGTGCAGCTTGAAACCGACCCGTCAATGTCATATCCCACCTTAGAGGTCTTTATGGCGAAGCTTGACAAAGAGGAGCCTGCGCGACGATGGTCAGAGACATTCCTCTCCCCACTGAGATGGATGGGAGTAAGGACAATTGATGACATGTGCATCGTGTCACCTGAGAGCCTTTCAGGTTTTTTCAACCTGTCTCCCATCATGGTCATGGATTTTTTCGTCCATGTCGTCGATGCTGTATCCAAACTCCATGCAAGGAGAATTTAAACGCAAGAATAGGAGGTAAGAATATTTATATTGTAGGAATTTCTGCACGCTGAGCACTCAGAATGTCAGTACGATGATGTATAGTAGTCTGAGCATTTGCCAACTGAATGTACGAACCTCAGAGCCTGAGGTCTCCTAGCGATAAGACAAAGTTTGTGAATCACAATAACTAGCAAAACGACTCGGACGTAGACGAAGTTGATTCGGCTCTCGATAGCTAGTTGTCAGAGCAGCCTGAGCCCGAGGCTACCTGACTAGGCACTGCGGCAGTCACCTTGAAGTTTGAGGTACCTCTCAGCGGTACAGACCGCTGGGTGGTAAAGGCAGTCGATAGTAAAGGGAGGCAAGACTCAACAGTACAGTAGTACCACTGAGCCCCGCCGAGCCCGTATCTTATTCCTCAAGGACAGCTTGAAGCACCCAAGTGATGCGCATGTCAGTTCTGTTAAAGGTATCAAGATTCAGTTCACAGTTCGCAATGAAATAGACCGTGTCCGAGTCAGAGCAGCCTGAGGCTACCACGGTCTAACTGGGCACTGCGGCGGCAGTCACCTTCAAGTTTGAGGTACCTCTCAGCGGTACAGACCGCTGGGTGGTAAAGGCAGTCAATAAAGGGAGGCAGACTCAACAGTACATACCGCTGAGACTGAGCCCAAGTTGACTCGGAGGATCGACTGCAAAGCTGAAGTTTCAATTTCAAGAAGGAGTTGCCACTAGCAGCAACCCGGCGTCTGTGTCGGACTTCGGAACACGGTGCTACCTGTGTTGCTGATCACGTGATTATGTTTATACGCTGAATTGAACTTCAATGAAGTTCATCATTCTAGTCACCTACCACCGTTGGCACGACGGTATGTACCTTCGTGTCTGTTCTACTTCCAACTCGCGAGTCAAACTTCCGTCATCCAAGTCAGCAATCGATCTGGATCCAACTGGCAGCCTGACGACACGACAGTATGTACCGTCATGTCTGTTCTACTTCGGCTTCCAACTTGCGAGTCAATATGACGGTACGCATGTTTTATTTTGTTCTCCCGTGGCTCTGTCTGAGTCGCTCCGAGTCATGCTGCAGGACGTGAATAACTGCTGAATAACTAGTATGAGTTACATTCAAGTAGTGATATCGAGACCGCAAATTTAGTGTGAGTAACATTGATGAGAGCCATGGCCAACAATACTGATTTTCGTTTGAACGGCGGTCCAGGCATAATGGTTTACCTAGATGATTGTCCAGGTTCAGGGTCACTGTCTTGCCGACTCGGAGTCATCCAACTGTACTCGCTGAAACGTGGTTTCATTCATATTTTGTTATGTATGCCATGTACACAAGTTGTGACCGTGAACATGAAAATGCGAATTCGCTCTTTGCAGCAACGAGTCAAAGTACTATTTTTACATGTCAGCTAGTACGGGTTCGATCCTTCAAAATATAATCTCCATACTGCCATAGACTCCTATCATCATTGACCCAGGAGTGATAAGGAGTCATGGTTGTTACAACAATGCGCGGATCAGCGAGACCTTCATCTTCCAGCCATTTCTCTATATCACCCACTTCGCCCAGTCCCTCTATCACGCGTAAAACCAATAGTTCAAGGCAAACACAATTCATGAGAATTATGCGGAGTGATGCTGGTGCTGTCTGGTGGGCGACCACTCGTAAGGATAGATGCGTAAGTCGTGTCAAATAATGTATGCCGATAGGAAAACCCCAAAGCACCCAACCCTCCAGCAATTCAAGGTGAGTGATTTTGTTGAATATAGGCATAGATGGCAGAAATGGTACTGCATTTCTGCAGAAGACAGTTGAAACACGAATGGACAGCTGCGACAACTTTGGAAGCCTGTTAAAGGCATTCAAGAGGCAAGCCGGCACCCCAGGGGCATCACCTTCACGTACAATCCAGAGGGCAAGGCTGTCAACATGACTGCACAGCTCCATGACATCTGCCGCTGTCACAAGATGCAATGTGCTGCCAAGACAGAGTGATTTGACTTTTGCGGACGCCACAGGTCGAGACTCGACGAAACGGCATGCTTGTGCTTCGCTGGTGAATACAATAGTATGATACATCACCTCCTCAATCCTATGCGTCTTCTAGGTCAGACTCATGCTGCGGTAGTACTGCAGGCAGGCCTGTACGTACCATTGTCGAACTCTTTCAGCGACTAATAGATATGAGGGTAAATGATTGGTAGGGTGAACGCCTGCTGCAACTTGAAATATGGCTCTTTCGATCTCATGTGGTAAATGCAACATGACGGCTGACGTTTGCTGGGACTTCGGACTCGAAGTCAGCGTGCTCACTGAGGCTCTCGGAGGTACTAACTCAGTCACTGTTTGAATCAAATGTGATGTCATTGCAACTTTACTACTCAATTTGTACTGTGATACAGGATACAGTCACGGTGGAGCAAATGTTTCCGCACAGGCTTGGGGCTACAACTCGGGCGCAATGCTAGTGTTAATCTCGCTACTCCATGACCGCACCATGACTGATGGAAAACATGGGATTGACGATAGCGAGTGACGCAATGGTACCAGCTATGTCTCGGTCCATACTGAATCATATGGTCAGGAATGAGGGAGTTTACTAGGTCTAAATTAGATTACTCTTACCAGATGCTCTTGTTAGGAAGTCATAACACGCTACTGAAGTGTTATGTACCATCTTGTTAGTACCAGAGTTGAATTTAAGCGAGCGCTTCCATTGTGTAGTGGTCATTGGACCATTGGCATCGCTGGTGCATGAATGTCGCAGTGCAGGAAACCCCTTCTCGGATGTTGTCAAGACGTCGTTGGAACCAATCTTCGCAACGAGGAGACCAAAAACCGACATTCAAGCCTGAGGCATCCCAAGCATTGGGCCAGGGGCCACCAGGAGACCACATCCGATGAGCCGTGAGCTAGAGATTGCGAGTATACGAGTATAAGTCAGAACGGCTGTGATTGATTTGTACACGGGAAAGCTTACATCAGTCTATATAGTACGTTCCACAAACAAAATCGATTTCTTCATCCTGCAATCCATCATTGTAGTAAGTCGACCCGTTCCCCACTAACAGGTCGCCAAATGGAACGGCCTCGGTCGAGATACCATCAAGGACAGATGGAAGATGGTGAAAACCCATGCTGTGTACAGCCAGCCGCCATACGAGTCCACCCTGCAGGAACGCAGCCCTCGCTCGGGGCCGATTCATAAACTCATGGCGTAGCTGTTCATATACGACATAATCTGCGTACGTAGCTCGGAAAGATGACGATTGATGCCCCAAGGTGTATGTGCGGAGTTCAGTAAGGGGACACCGAAAGTTGGGCGTAACAGCCATGGACTGCAGGGTCCTGAATGCTATACCTTTTTTCAAGAGAGCAAGCCCGATCTGCTTGATGTCTGGACCCCAGTTACAGTCACAGGCACATCACAGCAGTGATGGGGTTGGGGATGGCCAATGTCCAGAAGAGAAGATTTGGGGACTGGCGGGGCTCGACTATGTAGTACCGACGTTGTGATAGATTAACGCAAGAGACTCGGATATAAGCATGTGTAATTTGTAGAGATGGGTCGGGTCCTAGGTCCCAAACATCAGGCGGGATAACGCCTAAGTCAGACTCCTTCAAGTTCACCAGATATGCAATGAAATTCGTGATGCTTTGGCGTTGTGGCGCTGCGATCGAGCCTGTTTCTGCGGCTGAATCTCCAAGGAGCTTGCGGAGGTGATCCCAATTGGTTTTCTTAATCCACTCGTGTAACTGTATGGATGCATAGAGGGGAGCAGAACTAGGCGCCGTAGGTCGATATCCAAAGTAGTAGTGCAAGACGGGGACAATTCCTTCAATGTCCTTGTGCCTCGATGAAAGCGAGACATTACTGCCAAAGTACATGTATATATCGTTCATGAAACTGGAAGGGGCCGGAGGTGGAACATCAACAAGGGCAGTTGTAGGCAGCGGAGGCATGATGTCGTCGTCGTCTTCTCGGTCGTCACCGTCAGGCATGCTAGTTGGATCAAGGGCAAGACACAGATCCCACTGATTGGAGAAGGAGTCGAAGATCCTGGTAAATTTGTTGTAATCCCCCCAGACGTCCTGTACTCCAGCCTTTGTAATGTGGGTGCGCAACATGAAGCCATTATAATCGTCTTGAGGCTGCCATTCAAAGACCTGAATCGTGCTGGACTTCCCAGGAATTCTGTGGTTCTCCGCTGAACGTTCACGACTCAGTCGTGCTTGTTTGTGTGAGGGTGTCTCCTTCTCCTCCTTCTTCTTGTTCTGCATGGCCCGGTGGGCAAAGAATGCCTCCCAATCTTCGCCATGCCTCTGCCCGCTATTTCTATTGGGAAGTGGAAAACAAGACAAATCTGGCTGGGATTGCACAGCGGATACTGGGGTCTGCTCCGAGTCGTTTGACTGAGACTGAGCGCCCCACGGAGCATCATTAGACTGGGCGCCCCATGGGTTATCATCCGGCCGGATGCCCCGCTGATTATTGCCGCCCTGCGAGCCGCCCCAACTTGCGTGAGTTGCTGCAGCAATATTTTCGGCTGAGGGAAGATAGCGGTTCCAAGTCTTATTGGGTAAGACATTGGGAGGCCAATATACCCAGATTGGAACTTGGTAGTGTTCAAACATAAGGACATCTGTGTCCCAGGATAGACCGTAGGCGGCGTTTATGATCATACCAGTGCGTGGTACGCCATCCGTAAGATCCCCAACGAATGTGCGGGAGAGTTCAGTCACCCACGTAGAGGGTATTGGACATCGAGCGTCATTGGTTAAGAGATCGGTCCAGCTAGACGACTCCTTGTGAGGTCTATACCGACGAGTCATGATAAAATATGTACAGAGAGCTGAGACACCTGAGAATGTACAAGATATAATCAACGGATTCGAACGACTCGAGGCTTCATACCTAAGAATGCATCGCGTGATCTTAAAGCAACTTTCTTCGCAAGCGTTACATCGACGTGGGACCTTAAGTACCCGTAGTCTCTCGGAGCTCGTGGAAATTGGCCATACCAAGGGAAGTGCATATTCGCAGCTAAACGTCCCTGGCACCAGAGGAGCTTCTGCTCTAAAGTCTCCCATTGTTGTCTAACATCTCCCCGCAGGATATGACGGCCATCCGGCGTTGATTCGATGGGTAGGGAGTAAAATGAATGATTGAGGCAACTGAAGACAGCGCCATCGAAAATGGGGTTCGTTGGAATGAGAGGGAACCATGGGCGCGTTTCATATGCCCACTGCGTAGTCAATACGTCTTTGATGTTTTCAGGTGAAGAATCAGACTCGAGGTGTGGATTCCAGGGTCGCGGGATAGGAGGGACCACGGGAGGAAGCGAGGATGCGTTAAAGGATGTGAATCGTTGTTCTTCATGGATGAAGACGTGAAGTCCACGATCCATGATGGGCTGGGCACTGGAGTCGGAGAGTGCCAAAGGTGATTAAGTGCTTCGCGATTGACTGGAGAAGTAGGCGAACGGACGAAATGAACAACAGTATAAACCATTGAACGCAGTAGTCCGAGTCGCTGGCAGGCAGGATATAGAACAAGAGCAACTTGAAGAGAAACAACGAGCAACAGTACAAACCGTTGAACGAAGGAAGAAGAACTTGAACAAGAGGAGGCTGACTCAGGCTGGACTGAAAGTCCAAGTTGGACTGACTCGGAGTTGAACTTAAACTTCCGATGTGACAAGAGCAGTTGGCACCGGATATGTAGCTTAACATTACATAACCTGTGAACCTTAATTGAATCGTAACGCCGCGGACGCGCCAATTCCCGACAACCATTGTTGGACTGCACGTGGTGTTGTACGTAAGCATGTAGAAACTCTTGTATACCCTCAGTAGTATTATCTTTCTGATTACCACCCAAGTACTAAGTCGATGTCATCAAAAATCGTCTTTGACTGGTCCACTGAGCAAGTTAACTGGCTCAACCTTCGTTATGCTGATTGTTCATCTGTGCAAGAGCAAGATTCTATCAATATTGGACTAGACAAACGTCAGACCTCAGTCGTGGATAACGGACTAGATTACTAAGTACCTAGACAAATGTCAGACTATAGTAGTAGCGTTAGTGTCTAGGTAGTATACGAAGAAATAAGAGACATACCCTCAGTCGTGGATAACGGACTGAGGGAAAAGGAAACAAGCGAGACGAAACATATAAATAATGGTTCGAATTCCTATGAGATACTCCACTAAGCTGCGTCGCGTTGTCACATGCGTGTTTCACGCGCCAACACTCCTCCTCAATGCGATGTGTGCTCCTCCTTGAGTTCTTCACCGTAGTCCCAAATAGTTCCGCAAACGACCGTGATCTTTCTTCGCCAACGCTTTCGTGAATATGTCGGCGACGTTTTCGTGAGTCCGGACATAATGGACTTTGAGCTGACGATGGTTCACGCGTTCTCGAATTGAGTGATATGCGATGTCGATATGCTTGACCTTCGCATGGTAAGACGTGTCCTCGGTGAGGACTATTGCGCCGTTGTTGTCGCACATCAGGGGAGAAGCGGAACTTTGAGGAAAGCCGAGTTCATCCAGCAGCGTCCGGATCCATGCAATCTCTTTTCCAGCTTCGGACGCAGCAATGTACTCGGCCTCGCATGTGGATAGTGAGACAGTCTTTTGTTGACGTGCACTCCAGGTAACGGTCCTGCTGCCCAGTGAACATGAGTATCCACTGACAGAACAATGAGTGTCGACGCAGCTCGCGAGATCGCTATCCGTGTAAGCCAGTAGCCGTGCGACATGTTCCCCGCCGAGCACGAGACAGAGGGAGCGTGATCCTTTGAGATAACGCACCACCCTTTTGGCAGCCTCCCAATGTACTGGACTGTATGAGTCCAGAAATTTACAAAGTTGTTGGACGGCGTAGGAGATGTCCGGCCGTGTTCCAATAGCAAGGTACATCAGCGAACCAACGAGTGATCAGTAGGGTGTGCGCGACATGAGTTCCCGTTCCATATCGTTGCAGGGGGAATGGTCGCGGTGGGACAAGCGTAAGCCCGGTTCCATAGGAACGGAGCAAGGTACAGCGTCCTGAAGCCCGAATTGTTTGACGATCTGGTCGATAAGAGCGGTCTGCAAGAGGGAAATGGTCCGAGCTGGGTGATTGCGAGTGATGGCTATGCCAAGGCAGAAGTGAGCGTCCCCAAGTTCAGCTACCTGCCACTTCGTGCGAAGCTGAGTTTTGAAGTCAGCGAGAGCGGCCTTAGAACTACTAACGGTGAAGAAGTCGTCAACGTGCACAGCGATGAGGAGAATACCGGTGGGAGAGCGCCGGTAATAAATGCAGTGTTCACTCTTGAGACGTCGGAATCCCCATGAAATCATTGCCTCATTGAGGGTCTTGTTCCATACGAGGCCACCCTGTTTCATCCCATAGAGGCCTTTCTGAAGTTCCCATACGTGATCTTCGAAGCCGGGCGCGATGAAGCCTTCCAGTTGTTCCATATAACAAACTTCGTCCGAATCTAGCAGCCCATATAGGAAGGCGGTCTTTATATCTAATTGCTCAATTTCCCAATTGAGGGCCGCGCCGAGGTGAGCGAGAATACGGAAAGATTCGAGTCGTGCCGTAGGAGCTGAAGTCTTGGTGTAGTCCTGACCCCAGACTGCTGAATAACCCTGGCATACGTAGCGTGCTTTGAAACGAGCCGCCGCACCAGTTTGGTCGCATTTGAGCTTAAATACAGGTCGGCCTTTCATCAGCTTACGACCAGCAGGTATGGAGGAGTGAGGTACGAGTTTGTAGACACCTAAGTCCCGCAGGGAGTTGAACTCCTCCTGCAGGGCGACAGTCCATTCGCGAGCATGTGGGGATGCCATAGTGTCGGCATAAGTTGCCGGATCATCAGAGTGTTCATGGTCGAAGTCGTCAGGCACTGCAGCAAATACTTCAGCGAGGTGGGAAAGTTCGGCCTCCAGCTCCTCGATATCAGAGCCAGTGGACTTGGCGCTAAAAACATGATCAGACGTAGTATCAAGAGCGCGAAGGCGTTCTGCGGTTGCGAGAGAAGCTAAGGCTGCCCGTTGAGCCACTGGGACGTATGGTAGGCCCTCAATAGTACAGCATTTTTCAGATGGGACAGGTGCGCGTGAGGAACGGTGTGGAGGGGTGTCGACATCTGCATCAATAGCGTCAGAGACAGAGGCACGATAGGGAGTGCCGGTGGGAGGTGGAGTAAGAACATGTTCTAAGGGTGTGTGTTCTAAGGGTGTGCTGTGATCATTAAAAGATTCTATAAACGAAACGTGGAAAGAGATAAAAACTTTGTTGGAGGCATGGTGATAGCACCTATAAGCCTTAGAATCCTGAGAATAGCCGATGAGGATGCACTCAGTAGAGCAGTCAAAAACTTTGGGATTGTGTCGGTTCTGGATAAGCACGAATGCGCGACAACCAATCTCACGCAGGTGAGAGAGGTCGGGTTTCTCACCGAACCAGGCCTCATAGGGTGTATGACCAGATTGAGACTTGACTGGCGTACGGTTGGTCAGGTAGCCCGCGGTCAAGACAAATTCATCCCAACGATTAGCAGGTACGTTGCACGAGGCGCGCATTGCACGTGCCTTACCCATGAGAGTGCGGTGTAAACGTTCGACACGGCCATTTTGGGCCGAAGTGTAAGGCGCAGTGAATTGATGTTGGGTGCCGCGCGTGAGGAGCCACTCACACATGCCGGCTGATTTGAGTTCGCCATTGTCAGAACGGAAGATACCAACCTTCAAACCTCTCTCAACTTCTCGCGCGTTGTAGAGACTCGTGCATCTCATAGTGTGATATGGCGCTTTACACTAGGGAGTATACAGCACCAACTCGCAGCATCACTCTGTGTACCATCCACAGTGATTCCTATATGACGCGCAGCTTTCCCGCGCAACGCGCGCCATGCGCGCACCATTCCCGCGCTTCACGATGTATACGCACGCGCGCGTTCCCGCGCTTGCGCGCCCTATAGCGCCAGCCATCCAGATGCATCCATCCACTGTCCACCAAGCTCCCTAGTGCGTATATTTCCATTTCCTTTATTAGCATAGTTCCACCTTTATTTTTATCATAGTTTCTCACTCATATATATTTTTACATACCTACTCGGTAGCGCTTCGGCTCCGCATGAGCGCGCTTAGGCGCGCTATATAAGCGCCAGCAGTACATACTATTATTTACCTTACTTTTCACCCAACTTTACCTAGTACTTACTACTTAGAAAGTCGCAGTAGAAAATCTATTCATTAGCACAACACATCTCACATCCTTTATCTTGCTTATATCTTCACATAAGTTTAGTCTCTCTTATTTCCGCTTACACGCGCGCGCTTTCCCGTGCTTCGCGCTAATACGCGCGCGCGTTCCCGCGCCTTCGTACCTTGCGCGCACCTGCGCTTTCTCGCGCTTCGCTGAAGCGCGTACCTCTAGATCTCCGCTGCACCTGCTTCCCCTTTAGGGTCGAATGCACTTGCCATCTCAAGTATCGCAGACTAGGCAACGCACGACCTACAACTTTTTAGATACAGTCAGGAGCATTTCTTTGTTCCTCTCAGTATTGTTGTTTCTACAGCGTGTTCCCAGGCTTGTAGGGCCGGGAAGGCATCACCTTTCGAGGCGAGGGGGATAGACCATGAATACGACGAGAAGTCGTCAATAATGTCCATTATGTATCTATGTCCCGCGACGGAGACAGAATCCAGATGCTCCATTAAGTCGATGTGTACGATGCCAAGCTTACGATCTGAACGCTTCCCCTCCCTAACCTTCGGTATGCTCGTTTTCGTCTGTTTGCCGAGAATACAAGCATCAAAAATGGGAGGGAGTAATGACAGGTTAATGGGCATACCGGTAGCGAGGCCAGAGCGGGCGAGGTCATAAACGGTACGGTAGTTGGCGTGGCCAAGGCGTTTGTGCCAGGTTTCTAACGTTGGCGCGCGGCTCGCAAGATACGCATGGTCAGCGGATAATTGTCCCCCAGAAAATGCGTAGAGGTGCCGTGAGGTCAGAGTGCCTGTGAGCATCTGCGTGCCACTGCGGGCCTGAACCCAACACGAGGTGGCATTGAAAGATGCGGTACATCTATGGGCAGTGCACATAGCCGAGACGGACAAAAGGCGAACGGTCTTACTGGGAATGAACAAGACGTTGTCGAGCGTCAGGTGAATACCTTTCGCAATGATCAAACATATTGTGCCAACACCAACAGCTTGGATGGACGAGTTGCTGATGCCGCTGACGACGCAAGGAGGAACAGGGCGCAGAGTGTAGAAGTCTGATTTGACATTACTGATATGAACGGATGCACCGCTGTCCAAGTAAAATGGAACAATGGAGGGGTCGACGGGGGTATGCGCGCGCTGATTAGGCGCCTTATAAGTTAGACCGGCGAAGTCGACATGTTGG